AGCTTGATTACAGCAACATTCCATAAAACAAAGTATGTGTGTTGTGTATACATAACAAACACATACATACTGCCCCCAATGGAACAAATATCCTTTACCTGTTATATCGGTACAATATGACATCAGAACCACATGATCTTGTACTTCTGGAATCCTTTTTTAAAGAAAACATCAGGAAATCATTTACTGTACCTAGTTAACTTCTGCCACAGCATTTACAGGCTTAGATGCCATCTTTTAGCTCAACATTGGGAACACTTAATGATGCAACATAATCATTTGCATTAATTAATACCCACCTCCTGGAAATGGGAGAAGGGATAACAAAAAAGCTATATCATTTTTCTCTAAGCTGATGTGCACCTGAATTAAGGCCCTGTTCAGAAGTAAGCCTGGCTGAACTACAAAATGATTTTGTCTCTAGTGATTTTGTAGTTAAATAAGATCTGAGCTAATACCACCTTCAGTTGTTATAAAAAGCTTAGATGTTGCTTTTGTTACCATCATCTGGTTCTAGGCCTGCCTCCTCCATTTGATGCTCTTCATGATTCCATCATCCCCTGATTAACTGGACAATAAAGTTGTGTTGCATTGCAAGACATCTGGAGGGCATCAGCTTGGAGTAGATCCCCTTATAGTTATTCTCTATCTCAGCTTGAGCTGTTCAGCTGTGTTGTTCAGCTAATACATCTCATGGATGTATATCATCCTAGCTACATGCCTGACTGTGCTGTGTTACAATACAGATTTCCAAAGACATTTGCTAGAAAAATACAGGCGCCATCAAGTGAAAGCTCAAAGAAGTATGCACAAACGCACTCATATTTTCTAAGCCCACACAAGGAATTGCTTTTTCAGTAAACAAGCAAAGATCAAATTCCATTGCTCGAAATCATTGTTGTAATTAAACGGTTGTAAATGATACCACTTGGCTTTGTTTTATCATACAAAAATGTGAAATGTTCAATCGGGTTAAGTTTATTAGCAATAAACTGAGCAAGAAGGACTATCAAGATACAGGCAGGATTTTGCCTTAATAAGAATTTGGGTTCTGTCACCTGCTTTTTTCAAGTGATTCCATATTCATATATGCCATCGGTCTGCAAAACTGATCATTGTTGCAGGTCAGAGTTTTGGAGGAAATGCGTACAGTTTCCAATGAATGTATTCAAGACTGCTTTCCTTCAGTTGGAGCCCTTCAGATACCTTAGCCCTGAAGCCCTGTTTTTCATGTGTTGCTAATCCAGGACTAGATGAACCACTGCTCCACTACTTCCTATAGTTCAGCCAGCAGGACTGACAGTTGCTATTGACTGGTAATGATGGCATTCATAGGCCAACATATAAAAAGTTCCAGACTGAGAAAAGCAATTGGATTTATGCTTGGCTTATAAGGCTGTCTAGTTAATTTATAAAATGTGTGAGAACTTCAAAAGCTTGAAACCCATTATATTTCCAACCACCTGCCAATATTTCATTATTTTGCACAGGAAAGAAGTATGTTATGGCATCTCAGCTCCATAATTTTCTGGATGAAGGATGATTTGGATCAATTATAGGGAACATGAAACTCTTGATTAAAATATCTTCACTGCCTAAGAGCCTTATTCGTGATATATTTTCACATGCTGGCTGCATTTCATGGAAATGTAAGAAAAAACTGATAATTTTAAAAATCTCTGCCAGAAAGACTGGATTTTGAAGTGTTTTCAGTATACACACACACACACACAATTATAATGTCAAATAACTAAAAACCCACTTTTTTTGTGATTTAATTTATTTTAGCTATTTTAAGCACCTCCTTCTGGTAGAAAGGCAGCTATAGAGTCAACAAATATGATGTAACAGCAGCAAATAAAAACAGTAGATCAATTTGGTAAGGATCTAGGTTGAAAAGCATTCAGTATGGGGCAGGAAAGGGACTTCTAGGATATGTCAACACTATGTGCTTAAGCATGGTTTATAGAATAAACCCTGATTAACTGGGTTCAGACAACAGACTATGATATAAATCACAGTTTACAACTAAATAGCTGGGTGTCAGCAAGGAAACCAGAACAGGCTTAGAATGTTATGTGTGAAACTTGCTTTGGTGTGTCAAGCTATGATGTCCCAGGGACACACCACTATGTTTCTAATCATCTTAGAATGGCCTTCCTGTATCTAGTGCTTTTCAGGTGTCTCTGTTACAATCTATGCTCCCAGAATGATCATCTAATGCACCTTGAGAGTGTGGGTTGCCCGCCTCTTTCCTTCTTAAGAATCAACCTTAGCCTTATGCCTGAAATACAGATGATAACATTTTTGGTGGTGATCTATAAAGGTAGAACTTCCTTCTTAAAGAGAACGATTGGCTCTTTCCTCCATCAAGACTACAATAAATTAAAAAAACAAAAAAACAAAAACTATTTTGGAGGTACAGTATAACTGGGTTTCCATTATAGGATTCCCAAGGTTTAGAATTTTAGATTTGCGATTTTATTTTTATTTCATGTGATATTTTGGTGTTTTTTTTTCATTTTTACTGGGTTTTTTTAACTGGGTGCATTTTCATTGTTGGTATACAAACCATTCTCTTAAGCAAAGCAAATACAGCAATTGATAGTTTATTGGGCAGGGGCAGTAATTGCTTTCCAATAACAGGAAACTGAACACTGGAAAGCAAAAGTTTCCTGACAATGGGATTTTCCTAGTTTATTATATTTGAGAAGATTAAATGTGGCTACACCATGAGATCTTACTGGGATAAAATGAAACTGAAAAGGAATTTCTCCCACAGATACATTTTGTGATGCTTTCAGGATGAGTCTACTCCCAACTGTGGGTTCAGAATTGCAGTCTCAAAATATGTAAGAAATCAATCTCAGTGAAGATCTCTATGGATTTTTGAATTTCTATCTTAGACTTTATCACAGGCTTTTGATTTCCTAGTGAACTTGGCGTCCTACCTTACCAAACAGACCTGGAGGCAGTAATGTTGTCAAAGAACTTCCCTTCCCAGAATAACTCAACAAGGAGCTTGTTTTTTCAAATGGAACTGATTCAACTTTTCTATTTCCTCTTGAAGTCACCCATTGAATTCCACCCTGACCTCAAATTCATCAGAACATCCTCTGCTACATTCGCAGTATGTCTTTAGATGTTGATGCACTCCAAGATCAGGCCAAGATAAATGGAGTTCTTATATCATTCCATTTTAATTGTCCACAAAGCTCTGGATTTAGCATTGCTCTGCAAGAGAAAAAAGGGATGGTTCGAACCAACTACTTGGACCATACTTGTATATCACTACAGCCAAGTAAGCCCACTAAGAGTCACCAAGAGAGAAGAGATATTTTGCCATGACTTCCTTTGCAGCTGCTTCTGTTCCATGTTCTCCTGGTTTAGGAGTATTTCATTATCCCCCAGTGAGAGAAACTGAGTTGTTTGCTGAAAAAAATAACCACATATAGCATATAAGAGATTACCTTTTCTTTTCTTGGCCTCTCACATAGCTACACCCACATATCTTGAAATATGTGGGCCTATATATTGGGGAGGTAGGCTTGAGCCTCAACTTCGCACTGTTTAGCAGTCATGCTGAAAAAACATGGGTACTTAAGCTATATAAGTTTGATGCATTTATCTTCCAAGCTACTTTTTATTACTCCTCTCCAATCAAGAAACTGTTGACGCAGTGTTTTCCATCTCTAGTATCTACAATTTGACGTCATTACAGTTGTCACAGTGGCCTTCTATACCTAGGCATGTGTTTATTGTGGTGATTTCTGCAAATAAAATCTTCAGGTCATTTCACATGAGTGTAAATATGTCCCCAAAGGCCAGTAGTTACATAACTGTGTTTTGAATATTTTCTGGGAAAATAATATCGGATCATAGTATGGCAGATGTAATTCTGGAAGAGTAGAAGAAACCATTCTAAACAACGGTCAAGTTTGCTTGGCTAGTATGAATTGTCAGGATTCTTCTTTAACAAAATATAATCATGGTTGACTTACAGTCATTTTTAATTACATAGTGCCAACAATCCTCAGCATAGGATAACCTAAAGTTAGCTATAGTTTCCTTACCCTAACATGTAATTATCTTATATCTGATACTCCCAAGACCAGTTATACATTATAGTGTGATCTATCTTCTGATGCTGGCACATTCCAGGAGCGGTACAGATTGGCGACTGAGAAGTGTCACATATTTTCTCTTTAACAGATGATCTAATATGTTAGGCTGAATGTTGTGCCTGACTCAGGGAACTGAAATTGGAGGCCTTTCAAAGGACACAAATAACAACTGTTAAAAAATGATGTCATAGCAGGGGATGCTATGTAACCAACTTGTGCTGATTTCAAAAAAAGCTAAGGAAGGTTGGTCCCTGTTCGGGTTTGTACAGTTAGTACAGGAAGTCCTGAACTGTTGCTAGATTGGGAATTTGAAAAAAAAAAAAAATTCCAAGAAAGCAATGACATACCACATCTATATCATTGCCGAGAAAATTACATGGATGTGTCCAGGTAATCACCAACATAAAGCTCAACTAAAGAGAGACTTTATTCTTGATGATGGTGGTGGTGGTGATGATGATGATGATTCTGCTTGTAGGAGTTTCTACCTCAGGTATCAATAAATTTTGGAAAAGTTTGAGTATTTTCCAGCTCAGACCCCAATTTTTTGAGGCTGACCATAATTCCTACAAATTGAGACAGAACCCAGCTTTGCTACCTCTTTGTCTTATGACAACAAGGAGTTGGTATTTAACAAACATTTAGTTACTGGAGAAAAAAAGGAAGAAAGAAATCCATGCCAAATACAGATCTGAAAGCTACCCTTATTACAAGCCATCATGACGATAATTAAAGCTCCTTTTAAATTTAGATGTTCTGATACTCTAATATTCACTAAATATAGTTTATGGCAGGAGATTACAGTTATAAACAGACTCTCTTTATGATTATAATTGTTAAACAATAAGTATTCTTTGACATCTTATCATCTGAAAAATAATAATTTATTAATTCTTGGTAGGTTCAAGATTATCCACCCCTTTCTAGTTTACTCTAAATGAATACCATCATTAAGTCATATCTCTTGGTTTTCTTATAGACGTATTCCTTTTAATCTTTCCTGCTCAGCTAGCTCAAGGTGACTTACAAAACACAGTCATATAATAATATAAGACCAGCAAGTTATCAGCAGTGAGTAATAAAGCAGCCACAGGAACTGTATTCAAATAATAGTCAGCCAAACATGTTTCTGAACAACCATGTTTTAATCAAGCTCTAGAAAAATAAAATGTTGGGATCTTTTTATCATTTCCAGTCCTCAAAATTGGGATTGACCATAAAAAAAGCCTGGTATTAAAACTTCTTAACTCCGCAGGTCTGATATCCGGAGCAATGCTGAGAATTTAAGCAAGGAGGAATATACAGAAGAAGGTGGTCCTGAAAATAGCCAGGTGACAAGCTGCTTAAGGCTTTTAAGGCCCAAACAATTATTCTGAAGTGAATATAGAATATTCCATTACAAATCAACCAAAATATGACTAGCTTGATCACAATGTAGTCTGACACCTCTTAGCCATTAATCAATACTCTCTCCTCTGATTGTTCCCAACAAAGTTGAAATTTTCCAGGCCAGACTTCAGGCTCCTTAGTCCCCCAATTAATTTAAAGGGAATGACCTGTTCATGTTATAGGAATAGATGCTCATTAACTGCAGGACTGGCCCAGATTCATTGCTGTTCCCTTTCCCCACTCCAGAAAATCAACATCTGCTCCTCCCTCCACATTTGTTCTATTCCCAAACAAGACAATAATCAGAATAAGAGTACTGTATTTCCCTGAACAATGCGATAACTGGCTCTGATCGGATGATCTGGAATTAAAGGCAAAATGATGACAGTGAATCAAATATATAAATGAAGTAGCTAATATAAAAACATGGGGGTTTTCTTCTTATTAACAATTATACAAAACAAATAGGGGTATTTATTTGAAAACAGATATAAATAATGAACTCCTTGTGCACCTAAATAAACAGGGACTAAGAAGGACAGTTTAATTCTCATTCAAAAGTGGTTGCACTCATAGCAGCGTGTTCTTCTTAATAATAACATGGAGTTGATGTGTAGTAATTTAGAGAATGCTCAAAATGCTTCACAGAAATGATCTTCCTATTCATTACAATCACCTCACTTGCTCTAGATTTTGAAGAATGCTGGCTTGTTGTAGGGCCTGCTTTCTCATCAGGAAGACTGGCTGTCAGAGACAAAGTAAATCCAAAGAGAAAGGGGCCATTTTACTATTGCTTCAAAAAGGAAGACGTTTTCTTCTGAAGGCAACTCTTCCACATGTTTCAACTCCTTGAACAGGAATGTTGGGGATTGAAGTGATTCTGCTCCAAATGATTTGTGTCAGTAGGCACTTCATGTCCTGTTGATCTGGTCTGATTAGAGTCTTCATCTCTAGGAAAAGATCCCCCTTCAGGAACTGATGAAATATCTGGATGAGTAACTGCTGCACAGCACAAACAAACAAAAATGAAATGAATATTATGGTCAGTGACCAATACACAAACATAAGTAAAAGAAAAGTTCTAATATATATAAGGGTTCATATACAGGGATGTGTTAAACTTTTTTAACTTGGAACATTTTGAGTTCAAAACTTTTTCTTTGTAATTTGAAAGGTCGTTTTGAATTTGAAAGAGTTGGCTATGACGATTCCAGAAATTTGTGTTTAACTCAGTATGGCTGAGTTTCAAGCTAAAACATTTCTTTTAAATTGAAATTGAGCTCTTTTGAGTTTTGAATGTTCCCAAAATGGTTGGAACCATTCATTTTTAACCCAAGAGGGAGTGTTTCAAACCCAAAACCAGGTGTTTCAGAACAACGTTTTGCACATTCCTACTTATGTATGAAACTGAAGCTGTGGGTATCATAAAGAGCTGATATTTCAAAAAAAAAATTGAGGTTCTAATTCACATTTGTTTACTGAGCAGAGATAGAATGTACATGGCTTTTTGAAAGCATGGATATTTATCTTCAGATCGCTATATAAGTGGCCTGTTTTAACACTAGGGATCAACTGTGCTAGAGAAGGGGCAGAACTGATTCAGTGCCCTATACCACTGAACAAAGGACTCACAGAAAAAATAATCCAGTTCTGGATACATCAAATACCATGTTCATGAATATGAGACAAATATAGATTCCTCTGGCTTTTATCACCCCATGCCATAAGCGATCTCTAGGTTGATGTAACCCTTGAGAAGAATCCAGTCCAGTAGATGCACTACTTCATTTAAGAGAGCTACCAGCTTCATTTTGTAACTTCTAGATTCACTCTCCATATATAGTATTTATCACAGGAGCCTATTTCAGTTACATATTTAATTCAGTTCCCTAAATTGAGGACAGAGAACCAGTTTGGTGTAGTGGTTAAGCACCAGGCTAGAGACCAAAGGTAAGTTCTAGTCCTGCCTTAGGCACGAATCCAGCTGGGTGACCTTGGCCAGTCCCTCTCTCGCAGCCCCAGGAAGCAGGCAATGACAAACCTCTTCCAAATCTTGCCAAGAAAACTACAGGGACTTGTCCAGGCAATCACCAGGAGTCAACATTGACTTGAAGGCATGAAAAAAAAATTGAGGACAGCAAATCTAATTTATAAACTGTAGCTAGTTCTATCAAGGCAGATATTTGTAAAACAATTTAAACCATATAGAGTCTGATTATATCCACAGTACAATTATCCTGAACTGAACAGGCTGTGAAATATGAGAACAGATTTAAACAAAGTGAGCTCCTCTATATATAGATTTCCTATACACATATGACACTGGGTTACCTAGAATGGATCTGGTCATTTTGCCAAACAGCCTTATGATCCATTTTGTTTTTGTTGTATTGATTGATTGATTTTTGATACTGATATTTCTTTTGTTTGTTAATTTTATATCCTGACTTTCTTCTACAAGCTCAGGGTGGTATATACAACTTGATTAACCACAGAATCGCATACAGTGTAAGATTTCGTATATGGAATGGCATACAGTCGAAGATCCTGCCTGCTAACATTTCGGTGCGCTCCAGAATAAGATATATCAGTCAGAGTGGGGCTTCCTTCAGAAGAGATAACTTTACGCTGTAAAATTATCAGCTCAACCTGGTGGTTATTCAGGTAGTCTCCAAAGGCAAAAAGAGAGAACTGTAAAGGAAATTATCTCATCTTGCTATCCATTAGCTTGCCTTGTTAATGATCTACTGTTAATCCGTTGCATTTTTTAACCTAATGGAATGCTTGAGTCTGCAAGTGCCTAAAAACAGGTTTAAGCCAGTTGATGATGTTCTCCTGTCTTCAAGGAACAGAGTACTTTTCTTTTAATAATAAGAGTTGAACATAAAACCACTGCTGTGGTTGTTTAGAAAACATACGGGTAAAGTCTTTTGCAATTCCACCGTCCCTTTCAAGGATTCTGTTAAGAGATCATAATCTGCTGGACAGTGTAACTTCCAAAAAGGAGGGACATGTCACACTGCAAGACAGAAAATATGTGGCCCCGAGGACCAGGATATAAAGTTTGAAGATGGGCTTGCTATTCGTGCCTTATGCCCTTCTCTAGCCAACAGGGAAATGTATATCATCACAAAAAGCAAATCCTCTTTGACATCCATACTGGCTCTTTGAAATTAGTCTTTATGTTAAAACCTGTATTTAACAAAGCATTTGGAGAAAACGGTGTTCCTCCAAATTTCTGTTAAATCCAAAGTTAACAAAAGTGATCTACATCAAATGACATAAATTGCATCATTTACATCAATGATGCATTATGCATGATGGCATTATGCAAATAACAGATCTAATATTAGTTAAGTGCCTACTTTGGGTTCTACAAGTTTGTTATTTCAGAAAGATGGCTGGATGGAAATTTTGTCCGTTGTGCATGAAGTCTGCTAAATGAGGGTCTATTCAATATACACTTGATCTTAGCTAAAAGGCCAAGAAACATTTTTATGTAGCTCTTAACTATGAGAATATAACGATTTCTTCTTGGACTGACAGCTGTTATTTTTTTCACCCTTAAAACTGCAAAACTATGTTTGGAAAGTTATAGGGGCAAGAATATGCCGAACAGAACTGCATCTAAATACTTCTTACTGGGACAATTTAATAACTCCTGCATTATCTGCTAAACATGCTTTTTAAAGTTCCCTCTGGAAACGTTAGGTTAGTCTTGGGTAGAACTGACTGTAGCTGTTGTGTATTTGACTGTTCTCATCTTCATGTTTATTGATTTCAGTGTACTGCTGAATTTTCTACTTAAACGCTTCTTTGGAAACATTCAAACTCTTTTACATCCTCAGAGAATACTGAAAAAGGAGCTTCTGCAGTAATCATGGTTTAAATTATACCTCTCTTTACAATGGCCTGTTTTAAAATTTCAGTGCATCAAATGATGTAGCCCTCTGAAACAGATGTATTTTTATATGGTGGCTTCAGATATAGCCACACTCAACAAGGCTTTTAGCAACCAAAGAGTCTGTGATGTCTGATGTATGCTCTGTTTTGTTTGATCATGTTAGGGTCTGTTAAATCAAGGTTTTACTATATTTAGTCTAAGATCTGATTAACATGTCACTGTTACGGCAAAGTCCTAATGGAGTTGATTTAGTTTTGCAAAGAAGCTTGTTGATTCCAGTCAGGCTGGTTTGTAAACCATGGCTTACTCCTGAGTAATGGATGTTTTATTCCACAAATCTTGACTTTTTGTCAATTTATTTAGTTCTCTTCCAATCTGATTTTTCTTCACTTAAAACAGAAGCCTCGAATTAGCTTTTCCCAAGTCATCTTTTCTAATTACTAAAACTAGTTTGAATTCTTTTTGCTAAACTTTAGATTGAATACTAACGTATGTAATGAAATATATGAAGTAAACCTTCTAATCTTTCAGACCTTTTTCCATTTGCATAGTGATACTAAATAATTACCTGATGGAGACCAGAAATGCTGAATGACAAAACCAAGCAACAAATAGGCAAATAAGGAGCCCAAGTAGTAAATCTGCAATGAAATAGAAGTTGGTATTAGAGCCACAAAAATCTCCAGCATTTACTCAAAAGAGAATGGATGTCTACGCACCAGATCAGACTGCAAAATGTTGTTCGACAAAATCCTCAGGCGTAGATAAAGCAAAGCTAACGTGCACGGACTAACCGATTCTTGGTTGCTGTAATTCCAGCACCTATGGAAAAATCATTAAACAAAGTCCAACCATTTGTAACATTTAGGCTTTATGTAATAAGGCTGCCCTGGGCTTTGGATAAAATGGCAAAAAGGCACTTTGGAGGATGTAGCAATTGTCAGCGACTCTTTAAGGCAGCTACGTCCTCTCCTGAATCTTCTCATGGTTGGTCTCTGCAGCTGCTGCCTGATAATAAAAAAAAATGCTAAAGGCAGCTTTGAATTTAACTGGGGTCATTTTAGCTGCCACATCAATGGTATGTCACTGTCTATGTTGGTGCCACTGGCAACAAAGGTCAGATGCTCTGCTACACAACAAGACCCAGCAGCAGGGCAACTGATGCCTTTCCAAAGGACACAACCCTTCATTAAACTTTCTTTTCCATATTATACTGCCCATTATATGTATTTGTACACCCAGATTTATAAAATGTATAAAATCCCTATTTAATTTTGAAATGTTTGCAATTAAATGATAATTTTCTGCATTTTTGAACCAGAGATCCCTCCCTCCCTCCCTCCTTCTCTCTCTCTCCTTCCTCCCTCCCTCCCTCCCTCTCTCTTTTTCTTTTTTTGGGGCCCCAATATAATCCTGGGACTTTGATCAAATCTGCTTTAGTATTTGTTGTAGCTTCTGCCATGTTGAAAAATAAAACAACAGCTTCTAGAGGCAAGTCTCTTTCAAGTGTTTGTGCAGAAGAAGAGTTGAAGGCTTCGTTCACACAACTCATTTGAGCTAATCAAGTTTGTGTGTTTGTGGGCTACAACACACAAAAATCATATGGCCTTGATTCACACACACACCCAATATTAGTCAGCTTAGTATGTTGCTCACATGCGATCCCTAGTCTTTAGCTGATCTAGTCATGTTGTATGGACACAGCCTTGCCTGCTGATTCCATTGCTGTGTGCCCAAGGTGGGGGAATGTTTGATTAGAGACTCAGAGACAGCTCTTTCTCTGAGTCTCTCAGAGAATTTAGAATTCTGCAGAAATCAGGTTCTAAATCAAAAAGAGGGTCAATATAATTGACATGTGTAGAATGTTCTCTTTGGATTCCCCACTGGCACCTGAAGTCAGGTAGGGAATGGCGGTTGGTGGTGATGGTAGCAGATACAATCCTATTCTTTTCCTTTGTGGAGAAGATCTTCCAAGAAGATCCAAACAAATGTTTGGAAATTCTTCAGGGAGGATGATTTTTTTTTCTCCAAGTCTGGGGTTTCGAAACCTTCTGCTTTTAGGGAACTATTCTGCACTGATTTGCCTGCTGATAAAATTCCATGCATAGCAAGGGAGCATTGCAGGAGCTTGCTAGTCATCAGATTGATGAAAACAGTGTTGCAGGGCAAGTTGCACCCCTTTTGCATTGTCATGTCTCCCGTGGGACCTGTTCTGAGGTTCTCAGTTCATAATGCAGAACAGGACAGCTTTCCTTCTTTTTGGGGAGCATGTTGGACTTAATTCCATTATTTTCTATGTAGCATCTAGAACAATGATTGGGAAACTCTCAGGAATTTCCAAGGTTGTGGGCTACACTAGGAAGGATAAAATATTGCAGAAGACAGCTTCCACACTGTTGCCAAAAACCCAACATGGACATGTCCACAGAATCACCAGGACACAAGCTCATTTTGAATAAAATGTGATCCCTAATTTTTCACCCTCTTTTATACACCACTATAAACTTTCTACTCTGACTTCAGCATCTGCAAAAAAGAAAAGAACAAGAAAAAAGAACAAGAACAGACCTACCTTTCATAAAGCTCTTGACGAAGGGACATATTTTTGGAGTGGATAGTGCTGTCAATTTCTAAATGATCTAAAATATGACCTGGGATAGAATAACCTTCTTCCAGAAGAAGAGCCAAATTAAAGAATCCCTGGAAGAGATAAAATGATGATTAACTGGACAGTCCTGCTGGCATGGTTCCCTTCATATCCTGGAACTAGATTGGGTGACTGAATCTACATTTGGCCTGCTTTTAAGGGAATGTCTGCTTTTTTAAGAAGAGGGTCTTGGGGGGGGGGGGGGGCGCAAATCCACATTAGCTAAGTAGGAAATTGACAACCTCTGCATCTAAGCCAGAAGTGTGAAAAGGGGGGAGTCTGTGACAAGCATGTCTGTCTATAATCTGTGAAAAGCATGTGAAGAGTGACAGATGTTGATTCTCACTTTTGCCTGGTATGCAACAAAGAAAAGAACAATTCAAATCATGATCATTCCCTGGTTTGTCCAAGGTTCCTCCTATAAGCTTTGAAATTGGGCAATGAAATTAATAAATATTTCTCAAAGAAGTAAATGTTATTCATCACCCAGAAGGGGGCGTGTGAAAAGGCATGAAATGGAACCTTTTCCTCATGTTTCCTTTTAAAGAGGCAAAAAAGGTGCACTAATCATGAAACTTTAAAAAGTACAGAAGAAAAGGAAGCCCTAGATCAGCGTTCCTCAACTTTGACAACTTGAAGTTGTGTGGACTTCAACTCCCAGAAGTTCCCAGCTGGTGGCTGGGAATCCCTTAAGCAACTGGTGGCTTGAAGGTAGAACAAATGGTTTTTTCATTTATGACTTGTCAGTGTCCATAAAGATTTGTCTCTGCCTGGACTCTTATCTGAAAGCTGTTTCAGAACTAGGAAGGCATGACTGGGTTGATCCTCTAGGCTGTCATACTTCCTGGGATGGTAGGGACCTGCAGAATGCCTTCAGGGCCTTCAGATATTGAGCAGGGAGATTCCACTTGGAGCGAATGTCCTGATGGGAACAAGGGCCAATGCATCTGTTGGAATAGCTGTAATGAATACAATCAAAACGGGAAAAGATGACCTTTTAGGTTCAACCAAGGCTTGGGAAGTCTGAGAGTATGGCCCACGTGTGAGTCCAAAAGAAAGATGAGTGAGCAAACTCAAAACTTGTCTATGTGGCTGTACTAATGCTATACAGTATGGGAAATTCAGCTGTTTAACTCTTGAAAAGTTGAAGACATTTTGTAGCATTTCCTCTGGATTTGTGGATGGAGAGTTTTCCACTAGCAAGAACTCCTGCTTTCTCCTACTCCTCAAAGTGCCATCCTCTTTCATCAAGCTGTGGCACCACTGTCCTCAGTTACTCTGAATTTGACTCAGCCACCTGTCCTATCCAACAGTGTGAAACTGCTGCTGAGAATTGAAGAGCAGATCCAATGCCTGTCTGTAAGGCTCATGAGGAGTGTCCCCACACCCACTGTGCTTTTGGTGAAGATCTGCAGAAAGAAATATCTGAGCCAGAAACCGCACAAGACTCCAGACTTTCTTCTGTTATGTCAGGCAACTAACAAAATGGTCCTGCAGGCATATTTTTAGTCTGCACATGTCATCAAACCATCAATCTTAAATGGAACTGATTGTACAACAAATTAAATTTTTTCACTTACATTATTCTAAGCATCATTTATAGATTCAGGAAATACTGTAATGGGTTTAAGTTCAGTTGTAGGTTTAGTATTATAAATGTTTATAATACTAGTTTATACTAGTAAGACTATCAAACAGGCTACTGGCCTAAATTCTTTATTGAACCTGTGCACAGTGTATCAATCCAGTTCCTCACTATGCAATGCCCATTTCAGTGAGAAAGAATGCAGTTATCATTTAGTTTGCCCTTCCTTCCTTCCTTCCTTCCTTCCTTCCTTCCTTCCTTCCTTCCTTCCTTCCTTCCGCTAGCAAATTACTAATGGGCAGAAAAGATCAAACAGTTTACGAGGGTATATTTGGTTCAAATACCACTCTGTTAATGTCAAGTTATTTATTATTCTTGAACCATTCTTAATGGTGCAAATATCAGTTATTGTTCAGAATCTAATGAAGAATTAAATGTCTTGCAGCTCATTGATTTGAAGAGGGGATTCCAATCATTTTGGAGGTAACCTGTATTTTTCAATACTACTCAAATGGCACCCATGAACACATCAGTCCTGTCCCCTCTGGAAGCACCCACATCTGGTTCAGTTAGATGGGATCTGGGCAATTTTGCAGCACTCCAAGGGACTCCAAAGCCCCTGAATTTCATGCTTCATGTCCTGACAATCTGTTACCCACCTGCGCATCTCCATTCAATGCAGCTTGTGCATACATACGTGCTGACATATCCAAGTTTCTGGACTGGTTCTGATAGCCATAATAGTAAAAATCTCCTACTTTCAAGTAAGCTATGGAAAGAAAGACCTATGTTAAAGATTGAAAAATGGGGTGGGTTTTTTTTGGTTATATTTAACTCAGGTTATGATTTAAACACTAATGCCTAGAACTTGCAACCGGCAACAAACAATCAGCTTATTTTCCACAACCCCACAATAGTCACACAGCATTATTTTTAACAAGCTGCTATACATACCAAATGAGGGAGCGTTGCTTTGAGAAACGGAGAAATTATAGTACTTCCAAACACAGTCAGTAGTGAAGTATCTTTTTATCAAGTTCTGGGAAGTTTAAGGGGAAAATAATGACTCGCTGTGACTTACAAGAAAAAAAAAGAAGAAGAAAAAGCTTTGAGAATATGTACTTACCGGTTTCTCTTCACAGAGATGTGCTAGATTTGTTTGTGATACCTCTATTCCTGCCTCTGCAGAGAGAATGTAATACAGTAGAGCTTCATTCCTAAAATTGGAGAGAAGATCAGAAAAAGGATAATTAAACTGAAGGTAAGAAAACTTCAGAAAATGTTGGAAATGTTGGCTTTCCATGAAAGCAGATAGGGAGATCAGAAGATCCTCACATGGTTAAAATGTGTGCTATACAACATTCCCAAGGTCTACCTACAAAATGCAAGAAAGTCATCTACGTAGAACAAAACCCAGAAAAGTAAAAAGAAGAAAGAAGAAAGAAGAAAAATGCTGCTTTGAATTGCCATAAAAAGGGGTCAGCCTAGACACTGACCACAAGAAACCAATTTTAGGTCATTCCAGCATCAAATAAACTTTGGGGAGAAAGTTCAAAGGGCAACGTGGTCTGTCAGAAGAAGATCAAAGTATCTGTCCCCAAGTCTACAGTATTCAGCTTTTTTTTGATCCTGAAAATTATTTCAGACTGGGCAGGGAAGTGGTTGCAGAGATGTCTTGGGAGAGAACACATAGATGGAAGAAGGTTCAGCTTTTATCTTATCTTTCCACCTCATTTTGTGAACATCCACAGGCATTTTTGGCACTGCTTTAGAAATAGATCCCTATTTGTGTAATCTCATGCTATTGTTGTGTCCAGGATCTGAGCTGATTTATTACCAGGTGTATTTCTGCAGAACTTGTAGGTGGGCTGTTCTCCCATTGCTAGGGCCTTTTCTTTTACTCCACCTTCTGGCTCTTAGCAGCTGTTTCTAACTCTTACTTCCCCAACATACTATCATTTCATTATCATAGCTTGTAAGGGGGTTTTAAAATGCAATACAGGAATGGCATCTTTGCAACCAGGTTCCCCTCCTAGCAACTGTTCAAATCATTTTTGTGTGTGTGTGTGCAAATGATCAGATAAATGCACATAACATATGCTGAAAACATGGGTGCAAGACACTCATAAATAATTTTAATTCCCTTTTGTGTAAACTTGGCTACTTCATATTCTGAAATAACTCAAGGATCAGGATATTGATTTGATGATGATGTTGATGATGATGATTTGCTGCTCTTATATGTTTTTGGTCAGCTAGGGAGAGAACCCTGATTGGTTGATGTTTTTCCCTGCTTTTTGAAGTCAGCAGAAATGAAGATGCTCATTGGAAGGTGGACATCAACTTGCTTTGGGAGAGATTAGGGTTAGGAAAACAGTACAATATGGAAGCTTCTGTAGGTTTACATCAGCAGTGTCCATAACAAGTCATGGCGATGTCAGAGGATGACCTGCATGTGATGACATCATGGTGCTGACATGCTTACGTAATAATGTCATGATGTCTGACCCAAGTACATAAATCATTCAAGTGATGGCATCATTACATACTTGATATTTGCTGTCCTTGCCCACTCTCTGTGGACACTTGTGACTTACATTGTGAACTTGATTACCTTAACATGATATTTGGGCCAGCCTCTATGATTGACAAATCTATGACAAATTGTTCAGGATGTTTAAGGTATCATTTGCCACTGTGTAGTCTTTTGAAAATGTGGTGTGCTGATGAGAATTAAGAACATGGGGATGCTGATAAGCTTTAAAAACAACACCTCTTTCTTGCTATAATGGAATCTCTCTTTCCCACATAATAATCTGTGGATTATTGTTGTGTATCAATAGCTACATCTGCTGGTCATTTTTTAAATAGAAGGAACAAATGGAAGCTGGTTTAGCTTTGGTTTATCTCTCTCCTGCATTAATATAGATTCTTCCTACAGGGGATTTATACAGCTTTATTCATAAATTATCCCCAAATTGTTTTAGGGACATACCTAGCTAGAGTAAGATACATTCAATTTGAGCTATTATTAAAAAGGCAAATTTTATTTGTTACATTTCTGCAACTGTGGAGGTAGAAATCCGGATTTTCTGAAAATATACAAATGACAGAAAGGATAAAAAGGTGATTTCTTCTCCTTAATTTTGACTAATAATGTTCCCAAGATACAGGTGATGACCTCTAATTTTGAATGGGATTTCAGTACTGAGGTGGGAGAAGAAGAGTTATGTCTTCCCTTCGCTTTTAAGCTAAACTTGCTTTTTGACACAGACTATCTGCTGCACTGAAGAAAAATATGCATTTACCCATCAGCATCTTGAATAGCTATTTGCTAAAAATTAAGAGAGATCTATGCCTCGTTTGGCCTTGAGATGCTACGTTTTATCAGATTTAATAATTTGCCATTAATGAAAAATGACAGGTCTGCTGGGAGTAATAGGGTTACGTTAAGAATAAATAAAAAATGATTCTAACTTAGCTGTCATTCAGTGGCTACTCCATGGCTTTCCATTCCATATTTCCCTTTTTTTCTCAGCTCTTATCAAATGAGGTACTGGGAACACAACTCACAATATTAAAGCACATTTTCCATATACAAAAATCAGGAACAACAAACCTACCAAGACAATTCCAGATATGCATTGAGTGCTTTTTGGATGACATGGCCTAAATAGCCGTTCTTTTCTGCCACGTATTTTGCCCAGCTGTAAATCAAAGGAGTAACATTAAAACTAGAGATAGGGAAGTACCATTATGGCTGTACAGAATCTGTCCTCCTCTAGTCTTGAACATCCCAATGGGTAGACATGGGAAAATCATCTCAGGAGCAAGCAATGCCTCTCTCTGGTGGGGATGGGTGGCTGAAGTGTGCTCTCTCTTCCACTATACTCTACCCTGTGTGTGTGTGTGTGTGTGTGCGCGCATATCAGTGATGCCCAACCAAGGTTTGACTTCACCAACTTTTTTCATTTCCCCCCCCCAACATAGTATTGGAAGGGAGAAACTGCTGGTGACATTGTGGAAAAGATGCCAATTCAACTGTTCTTGTTGGGAAATGAAATGGAGGATAGATGTGGTAGTGTGATAGTGTGAGAATGATGACTGACAGGCAGAAAAGTGAGATACTGTTGAAGAAAGACTAATCCCGGAGGAGAAGGAGGAGGAGGAATATTGGGACTCTTTTTCTGCCTCCAAAGCATTCTCCACAAATGAAATTTCTCCAAAACAATGAGGAGACACTAAGGCAGCCTGTTTCAACCTTTTTACCCTGGAGGAACCCTTGAAATAAGTTTCAGGTCTCAGGGAACCCCTGCATAAAAATTGTAAAAAAATATAACAAGTTCACAATCCAATTCCCTTTAACCTACACAATCCACATTTTACAATATTTACAACAGCAGCAAAGCAGCGAGCCGGCAGCTGAGTCATGACACATAAGAATTCCCACCTCTACGAGTGCTAGCATCGCATGGAGCGTGAAGTTCAGAAGTGGGATGTTTATTTATTTATTTATTTATTTACTTACTTACTTACTATCAAGACCTCTTGCAGAACTCCTAATGATCTCTAAGTTCCACGGAACCCCAATTAGAAAGGCTACACGAAAGCATAGTATACTAACCACCTAATACAGATTAAGGTCAACCAAGCGGTATTTTTTGCAATCGTTTGCTCCTTTAGTATTACTCACATGACTGCTTTTTCTGGATCCCTGGGAAAGCTTTGTAGATTTCCTGTAATGTAAAACTGAGAGCAACGCAAGGTCCCTTCCATATGACCCTTTTCTGCTGCTTTATAGAAATAGCCAGCAGCAGTCGTCTGCCGAGGGGAAAAAAAAAGATGTTGAACAGGTATGCATAACTTCCAGCTAAATTAAAAAAAAAAAAATTAAAATAGTTTAACAAAGGTTACTAGCTGCAATTTGCACATTTATAGTTTAAGTGCATATCTGAGAAGCCAGAGAGGAAAATATTGTTTAATATTGAATCAAGGCTATGATCGCACCAATAATAAGGGAAGCCCGCTTGTGATCCTTTGCTTACAAGACAGTCTTGTCCAAGGCTGGAGATTAAGAATAGATTTTAAGAAAATCAGAAGTGTTTCTCCATCATTTCCAATATTTCATTTCTTTGCGCCATTATCTCCTTTGCTTAAACGGATCCTGCAGGCTGTTTCAACAATGCAAATCCTTCCCTAACCTAATTGGATCAAAGGTAGGGATGAGTTAATTCTATCTAGAAAATCTTAGGAGTCCTTTCAGGAAAATAAATAAATACAAGCAATTGACATCCCCTAGGCTTAAAACCTTGCCTTTCTTTTTGATAACTGCAGCAAATGCCCTCAGAAGGAGAATACAGTTTCCAAAGGCCACTTTCTGGACACAAGGACTCTGCCATTCTAAGATAAGCATTGTGCCCCTTTGTCCCCATGACGTTGCATGGCTTGTGAAAAATCTGTGCAAGTTCAGCTGACTAACTCTCGACTCAGCTGCCTCTATCTTGCACCTGGAAATGCAGAGTGGACTGTTTTGGGTGGGTCAGGAGCTCCTGCTTTGTCCTGCTTCCTCCACCTCAAATCTCCCCGCTCCAGAGAGGAACCCTGATGCCTCCCTGATGCTGCTTCTGTGGCTTTGGGGGGCACTTTTCCTGCTGTCCTGCACAGAACATTCTGGTGTTTCTTACCATGAAAAGAAAATGCTGCAAGAGAAAGTCACCCTCTTCAACACAACCTGCCTTGCAGAATTGTGGTTGGAGAAGGAAAAAATGGGTGGAAGGGGCACTGTGTCTGGTGCCTTGAGCTCCTGAGGGAATCTAAGCAGCAAACAAATAAATACGATGGAGCGCAAGGGGTGCAAACATGCTGTAGAGGGTATGAAGGTTAAAACTGGTGTCTCTGTAGGAATGGCTCAATTTTCTCTTATCTGGATTGATATCTGAAGGTTCGCTGATTAACTGAATTTGATGATGGGCTGAAAGCAAATAATACTAACAATGCAAGTTCCAAAGTAAGAACAGATGAGAAGATGAAAGAAAAGAAAGAAATCATATAAGTCAAGTCAGTTAAATTGAAATAAGTTCTCCTGTCTGTGCTCCTGCACTCTGAAGATGCCGGTCACAGGTGCTGGTGAAACATTAGGA